CCCCCCCCCCCCTTCAATGCCGGTTGGGGAGAATAGTTGAAGTTCATCCAGGAAAGGATGAACTAATTCTTACTGTAACGGTAAAAACTCAAAATGGAAAGACCCAGAGAACACTGCCGAAGATATCCGTTCTTCCGATTGAATGATCATAGAAATTAACTAAAGCAATTGATATCGTTTATTTCTTGTTGAAAGTCAAGCCTTTCAAGTAGGCCGGTGTACGCGCCATGCCCGGAGTTTTTCATATAGTTGTTCGGGCCCGGTGGTGTTGGTCGGTGGAAAGGGCAGTTAGTTGAAGTAAGCGGCGACAGGAGGTGCTGATGTTCAGAAAAAACGAAGATGGCGACAACTGACCGGGAGAGTGAATGTACACGTGCACGATCTTCTTATTTTGTTCAATAAACAGTATTAAAAAGGCTGAAAGTGGTTTTACTCAAGTTCAACCCGACTATATGTACATAATTTGAGCAGACCCTGCGTAAAACAATCTACTCAGCACGTCATAGGCTGTACCAATATCAACGTAGCGTGTATAGAAAAGTAAGGTGAACCCTATTTTAGAGATGAAAGCATTTTCTAAGTGTGTCATAACTAAATTTGCTAAGACTGGTATGCTATATGTGCTACGAATATCTGTTTATAAAATCTATTATTGAACCAAAAATATGTGGAAGTTATTATGAATTTTGTGCAGTTATTTACATTTTTAGTCGGAATTCTAGTTTTATTTCTCCTAAGGCTAAACTGTTGCACCAGAATTGTTTATATATGAAAGTTTTAGTATTCAGTTACATGTCCAAAAAATGTCAAGCCCCTTTACCGGTTATTTGAGAGAATAATTAAATGTTGAAAATCAACATTTTTATATGGGACCTTATGACCGGAGCAATCAGTGTCATTTTTTCGTTAATAATTTGAATACTTAAATCAAAGATAGTGGGAAAATAAAAAGCATCTTGTGCTTGTTAGGCGTTACGGATTGTGTCCGATAAAAAAATGTAGAGTTATCGGACATCTCAAAAGATAAATCACATTATCGAGACGATAATGAGTTGAGAAAAAGTGGCTCGCTTGGAATGGCGTCGCTCTGAACATGGCGCAAAAGCTTGGCAACAGTGCATTATGCTATATAACTACAATATGAACTGATTCAAGCAAGCATTTAAAATTAGTTTTGTAACAAAAGTCGGGATATTAAAATTAGGGCACATTATTAAAAAATCGAAATTATTTGTGCAACTAATTACTATAATATTCTGGGTGCTTAATTTTCAATATATAGTCGCTAGGATTCAAGACCCTTGCGAAGCAGCAGACCTACCTTAAGAATCTTAACGACAGACGTATTGTTCATGATAACAACATTTTTCGCGATTATTGTACCGCTTATCCTAGTCACTGGTGTTTGTTTTGAATTGGCGATCTCAGCTGCTACTCGGGATCCACGAATTGTATGGCAGTATGAAGACATATTAAGATTATGGAAATAATTCATATACTGACGAACATTAATAGTCATACTTAATGCATAAATTTGTATATTTCCAGGTCGTTATAATAGACTGTGGTACTTCATAATATACAGCGATACTCCATTTTTCTCAATGCATTGAGGTCGTTGAAATATCCCATATATTCTTTGTTTCTTCTTTCTTCTGACTTGAAATCTTATTATCGATAGTATTCTGAAGCAGATACTCATTGTATGTGTTTAGGGTGGGAAGTGACGGAAGAGTTCCGTACGTATGATAATCAAGATAAAAGGTGACAGGCGGGGGTAGATGAGAATTGAACATATTGTGCGTGTAGAAATAAGGATCATAATATAAAGAGTGATCATTGGGATAGAAATTCAGAGGTACTTGACCAGCATTTGTCGTTATGGTATCCTTGGGCTGTACATCATTTTTCTGTGGTACATTCGATTTGGTATTATTGCGCTTTAATATATTTGCTGTTATAGACAATTCACTTTCGTTTTTTGGTTTCTGATTTTTTTTTTTAGTTAGAACATTTTCTGTTCGCAACAGCATGGATAAATGCGGTACACGCAATATTTCTGGCCCGGCGATATTGTGCGAGACTTGCATATAGTAAAATGGTGGTACATAACCTATTGCTGTTTTATGAACGATAGGTTGTATTACAGGAAAAGCTCTTGAAGGTGATAGATTTTGATTACTAGTAATCAAAGCATTGTAGACTTTTGGCAGTCGTAGCAATCCTGGAGAAGCAGCAATCGAAGCAATACTAATCAGAATGAGAAGTAATGAGACGTTCATCTGAAAATAAATAAAAATTCTGATAAAATATGATAAACACTTTGGTTTGTGAATATTGATGAATCTTATGAAATTAATTTAATAGGAAACCGTAGTTGATTTCAACAGGCAAATGATACACACGGATAAAAATATGACTAAATAGTAATTTGGAAAAATCTCTAGCGTGCTACGAGGTCATTTTCGTCTCGAGACAAGATGATTAACACAGTTTTTCAGATTTGTTGTCTTTCTAACTATGAAATCTTCTGTAATGTAATAAAACCCTGTTATTCTATATGGTAAACATGTATATCAATGCATTTATATTTATGATATTTTTATAAGTGATGTCAAAGTTCAGAAGAAACCTCTCGATGGCACCAAGAATTACAACAAATGGATTCTTGATCTGTATGAGTATGGCTATTGAAAGTATCTCCATCAATTTTAATGAAAAAAATGTTTACTTTAAGTCCCATAAATTATTAACGAAATTAAGTAAAAATCGGTACCTAATCTTTAACTGCGCATCATTTAAGCAATTTAAAACTTGTTGCTTTGGTGGAGGTTTCTGCAATAATCACACTCATACAGACCGAGTAGAAATGTAACCCCCAAACAACACTAATGTGTAAAAAACTATGCTAAGAGGAGGAGAGCTGTGATGTCATCTAACAAAAAGTATTGAAATGATATAATTAAAGCCAAGTACATAAGTCACTATATATCTGCTTATTATATGATCTAGCACTAGCCCATTATTTTAATTATATTTTCATAATTTTCTATAATATCTTCGCTTCTCTTTTTTTATTACAATTTCTTCTTATATTTACTTATGATTTAATGGTCATTTAATAATTAATAAAACTTGATTCCTTATCGAACATTACTTGGCGGGTCCGTGCATTATTGTTGTTAAATAAGGTTTTATTCTTAATTTTATAGCAATACAAAAAGATGTTCTCGGATCAAGTGACTCGGTCGAGTCTCGCGCCAAGTCCATCGCCTTTTTTACACGACAGATGGCGCTGACTGGTTTGCCTTCTTTACCTATTTGTACTCTGAATGGTGTTGGTAATTTACGAATACACAACACAATCAAATACACTTTATACGTGAAGCTACCGTTCATACCGAATTTCCAGTTAGGATAAGGGTGCTTTCACAACAGTATAGAATTATTAAGTTTTTAATAGCATTCATGTGGAGCGCGCGTGTATGGGTGTACGTATATGTGTGCTTCAGCATAGTTCCTCGTATTTTAGGTGACAGTTTTTAGAGATACAGGATGTCTAGGTGTTCCTTTCCGTAGTATCCTGTATCTAGGTGGCTGATGTGGAAGTCCAGAGTATCCAGATCTTCCGCTCCGTACTTTCCTGTATCTAGGTGCCGGGCATGAAAATCCTGGGTGTCCCAGTGTTCCGCTCCGTAGTTTCTTACATCTAGGTGTAGGATATGGATGTCCAGGGTGTCTAGGTGTTCCGCTCCGTAGTTTCCTGTTTCTAAGTGTCGGATGTGGAAGTCCAGGGTGTCCAGGTGTTCCGCTTCGTACTTTTCCGTATCTAGATGCCGGGCATGGAAATCCAGGGTGTCCAGGTGTTCCGTTCCGTAGTTTCTTACGAGTGGTGTCCAGATGCGCACAGACCACTTGCCCACGGAACCATATTGCGCACGGACCGTTTGCCCACGGCCCACTTGCCATCAGACCCGGTTGCCCACGGCCCACTTGCCAACAGACCCGGTTGCCCACGGCCCACTTGCGCACGGATTGAAATCTTCATCGACCCAGATGCCCACAGACCCACATGCCCACGGCCCACGTGCGCACGGATTGAAATCTCTATCGACCCAGATGTTCACAGACCCACATGCCCACAGACCACTTGCGCACGGGTTGAAATATACCTTGACCCAGATGCCCACTGCCCACTTGCGCATAGATTGAAATTGGGTGATGCCCAGTTGCGCACAAACCCAAATGAACACAAAAGCGAATTTCTACCTCCTGAACGATATTCCATCAGTAATTTAAGGATATTGTAAGTTATCATTATCTGACGGAACCTTTTAAGACATTTACTCTCTCTCAGTCGGCCTTGCTCTGTTCGCGCGCTCGCCGACGATATACTTATCCACTAATCTACCCAGTCTCCGAGATTTAAATATTTCACCCTAACCTAACCTAACCTAACCTAATTTACTTTAATGGTCCATGCTATATTGATATACGACGATAGGGTATCCGCTAGTGGGGTAGAAATCTGTGCGTAAGTGTGTTGTGGACATCTGGCTTGACTAAAATTTCAGTCTGTGCGCAAGTGGGCCGTGGGCATGTGGGTCTGTGAGCATCTGGGTCGATGAAGATTTCAATCCGTGCGCAAGTGGGCCGTGGGCATCTGGGTCGATGAAGATTTCAATCCGTGCGCAATTGGGCCGTGAGCATGTGGGTCTGTGGGCATCTGGGTCGATAGAGATTTCAGTCTGTGTGCAAGTGGGCCGTGGGTATCTGGGTCCGTGCATGTTACGAGATCCGTCCACAAGTGGGCCGTGGGCATCTGGGTCGACGAAGAATTCAATCCGTGCGCAAGTGGTCCGTGGGCAACTGGGTCTGTGGGCCGTGGGCAAACGGTCCGTGCGCATCTGGGTCCCTCCCGTTTCTTACATCTAGGTGTTGGACGTGGAAGTCCAGGGTGTCCAGATGTTCCGCTCCGTATTTTCTTGTATCGAGGTGTCGGATGTGAAAGTCCAGGGTGTCTAGGTGTTCCGCTCTGTAGTTTCCTGTGTCTAGGTGTCGGATGTGGAAGTCCAGGGTGTCCAGGTGTTCCGCTTCGTAATTTCTTGTATCTAGGTACTGGATGTGCAAATCCAGGGTGTCCAGGTATTCCGCTCCGTAGTTTCCTGTGTCCAGGTGTCGGATGTGGAAGTTTAGGGTGTCCAGGTTTTCTGCTCCGTAGTTTCTTGTATCTAGGTGTCGGACGTAGAAGTCCAGATAAGTGTGTAACGAGCGCCGCTTTGACGCTCCGCTCAAACTATAGTATTCTTTCTGATGTTCGAACGGCCTGAGATACGTAAATAATCGAGCACACTCTCCTCTCTTACGTTTCCCACACGGCTTCAACAAGCTGGACACCATTAACGACGCTTATATGCATTGAAGATTACATTTTCTTTAAAAATTTGTATATGTCTTTATGCATTTCTAGAAAAAGGGACTTACTAATTAAATTTATATGCCAATAAACATTTCCGACAACGCAATGTATTTTTCTGATTAGCGACATCATAATGCATTTACATTTTATATCTAGGACAATATACAGAGTGTATCACCAGAAATGCACGTTTGAGATTTGCGGTGAAACGGTGCACAATTTGGAAAATCTGATGTCACAACCATTGAATGTTTTTTGATTGCGCATCGAATGGGCATATTATTATTGTTCGCTCAACTTCCGGTCGCAAATAAAAAAAATTATCTTCGCCATTTCAAATGATATTGAAACAAGTTAAATGCAAAAGTTGTAGAGCAAGAAAAAATAATAAAGATGAAAAGCTGTATACATATAAAAAGTTGACATTGGCTTTGAGTTTGATGACTGGCATAATGAACGCGAATTTATGTCAAGAAATGCACAAACCCGCCAAGTAGTACTCGATAAGGAATCACCTAAAGTTTTATTAATTATTAAAT